GTAACGAAGTCGATGTTATGTCTGTCTTTTTTTGGTGCGACACGCTCACTTGGCTAGTTCTAGATATGGTATACCCGCGTTTATGCGAAACCCGTCACACTCGTCACAGAATAAAGATAGCGAGTTGAAATTTGGCCCAAACATTTCCTGATCGATTAGGAATATGTGGTTCAAAAATGTGCATAATCTATTCACATATTTACCCAAATATGCGTCTTATAACCTTCGATTCCGCGAATATATTTCGAAAAAAATTTTATCTCAGTATTCAACAGAAGCATCTGCATGTTGAATGCAAAAACCGATCGATTTGATCGATTATTAGTATTACTCGAAATTAACGATTAATTCCAATTTATTTACCATTTCATTATCACAAACAACCTTTTATGCCATTCTGGACTGTTTAAGTGAAGAGTTAGTAGTAGTTGGCTCGCATCCTTGAGTATTAATTCAAAAATGAATTATCAATGTCATAAAATTATAATTGAGAAGTTTTTTGTATTCAATTCGTATACTTGGTGAGACCTGTCATCTTCCAATCCGACAATGGACTCATCTTAATGCTACCCAGTATTAAAAAAAAGAAAAACGCGACTAATATATATATATATATGGACACGTTATGTACGTAGAGAGTTTTAAGAATTCGTCTTCACTTTTTCTGTTATTGATGTTATTTTTTTTTTTTTTCTCACCTTATAAAGATAAGGTCATTATAGTCATGCAAGCAATCATGTGTTATACTGTGGTTGTCATGCTAAATATATGCGACGTTCGATATCAACGACGCATTATAATAACACAGTCGCAACCAAAAAGCATCTCTATATGTATTCGTCTTCCCCGAGAGCGATGTGCGAGAATCACGTTTTCTGTATGTGAATGCATAAGAAATTTATTGGTAAATTAACCATGAACTCAATTTGAAATTATACAACACAAAAATATTTACAATTTATGGATAATTGTTAGCAATTCTAATATTAAAAGAAACACAGAAGAAATATGTTGCATATTTCACTTATGCGCTATGCGCGGATAGATTGCAACATATTTATGCTAACACCTTTAACTAAGTTTAGCTTTTGTTCTATTATTGTTGCCGCTTTAATAAGAAGCCATGTTCGTCGCGTGCATATTTCTTTGTCGCGGAAATTACCTTAAATTATGTTATAATTACCTATAATTTCTTTTTTGAAAAAGGAAAATAAAAAAAGAAAAGAAAAATATCTTGGGTAAGCGGCTTCTTTTTAGTAAACACATAAATAAAATTTCTCCATCTCTCCCGGCATCTTCATAAAACATAAAACAAAAATATACGTAAACATAAGTGTGTTATACAACTTATTTGTTTTTTTTTTTTCTTTTTCTGTACTTGCATCAAAGCAAGAAATCTTGAAAATGACAAAAAAAAAAACTGGTTTCTCTCTCTTGTTGTGCATGTTTTTCATTTCGTGAGTAAACATGATCCGGTTTGAGCGGCGGCAGCAGCAACATCATGAGTTATCAATATATATACATATACTGCTAAAATGGTCCTCTGCTTTTGTTGCAGAATCTTTTTACCTCAATTTTTGGCTTATATTTTCAAGCTTGTTAACAATTAAGTGAACATAGTGGGTGCAATCACTGAGAAGCGTTAAAAAGAAAGCATTAAGGGCAACAGCAGATAGAAAGTTGAGTTTTCATTATTATCTTTTGCGCAATCGATTTAAAGATATTCTTCATATCGTCCATCTATATGAGAGAGTACTCTTGCCTAAGCAAGATGTGTGCATTCGTTCTTTTCGAATTTTTAATAATGATTATATAAGATATATGCAGTGTCCAAAGAGTAAAAGAAATTTATTTTTTAAATCTATTTCGTCGCCTTTAACTGAGCTCTCCTTGTTAACAATTTGGCTCGGCAGAGGGAATTCATTGTGCACAACATCACATCATCTTAAGTTTTGAGCGACCTTGGCGTGGCTTTTCAACTGACTTGAATCAACTTTTCCACGATATTCGCGGGATTGTTTCCGATTCATATGCATAGAAGATCTACGTCTCATTTCCGGCTGTAATGCTTTGCACGACCGATCAATTGTCAGCACTGATCTCCTCACAGCCATTGTAAAAATCAAAAAAAAAAAAAAATACTTTGCTGTGTTGTACAAAACCAAGCACGACTGAAGCACTAAGGACATTTATGATGTGAAATTTGACAAAGATGCCTATCAGAATGTTATCAAGTCAGTAAAAAAGTATTTTTAATATTTTATATACCCGGAGAAGTTAACATAACACGCAGTATTATGTCTTTAATTATATTAATCATACGTAAGTTATTCCTATGACGTCATAACCTTTCTCTGGATATGATAATTCGAACTGCAATACACAGGAAAGAAAAATGTTTATATGTATAAGAAACGGTTTATCCACAAGTAGTATGCACGTAAGCCATTTTGACATCGATATTAAATTCTTCGAATTTTGTCTGATAAGTTAAACCCTGGTTTGAAGTAAATTGGCAAATCAGTCAAGTTCGCCCAAGTTCGTTCAATATTTGGTTCATTTTTCGAATGAAGTCTCAAATATTTATTTATCGCACTCTCAAATTCGAGTCCGCGTTTTTAAATTCACATAAATGCTTATAGAGCTCTGCTTATGTGTGGAAAGTTTTAGAACTTTAGTCGTACTAACCTTATTCAGATATCTCATAAAAATTGGATGCAAACGGGAAAACCCTTTGAGAGATGACAAATAGGTGCGACAACAATTAATGTGACTTGGATACTGCGAATGTAAATTTCTCTTCGTCATTCTGTCTATCTACTCCAGCGTTGCATGTGACTCTGTTGTGTTAATGGCTATTACCTATATATATCTAGATTTAGTAGAAGACTTTTGATGTAAATAGTGTTTTATTCCCTCTTATTGTAAATTTATACAAAACTTTTCAAAATCATTGCATAGTGCATACCACCAGCTACTCACCTTTAACATTTACTATTTTAATAGTTTCGTTTCTCTGTATGCAACGAGGTGTGCTCGCGCTTACCTATATTTTTGAATGTCATCACGGAATAAACCTTTTCATAAACATACACATACACACGCATAAACGGTATACATCTAAACGGTATTTGACATTTATGAAATTAGCAGAAAGCTCCTTACTTTAAATAGGAATTTTATTAAATATCATAGCCGCCATAGCGATAAAAAGAATGAATTATAATGATGCCCAATGTCAATCTCTATGCAGATGTGTCATGCCAGTGCAAGATGGAACGGACAATCTGTTGAATGACATGTATGTACGTCGTGTCGAATAACTTTACGCAAAATATATCCGTAATAATTGTTTGCGTACCGCATATGTTGTTTCCACATTTTTGAAATCAATCAATATGACGCAATTTTATTATTAAATGTTTACTGGGTTTGCATTTTGAAAGCAATTAATTTTCTGAGTCACGTTTATTTTGAACGTGCTCACTCGCTCGCTAACGAACAACAACGAGAACAACGGCAACCGGGGTAAAAAACAATGTCCCTTGCTGTGTGCTTCCAAGCTTGGCAAAAAGAAAAGGAAAAAAACAAATCTTTTAACATTTTTAATCTAAACCCAGCAGTTTCCAGTTTTTGTTGAATTGAAGTAAGTAAACATCGTCAACATAAATAACGATGTTTACCTTTGCAATTGAAGTGCAGCTATAGCTGCTAATGTGTTCCCTGCAAGCATTGTAGCCTTAGCAATAATAATAAATACAATATTTCTCTCTCTTACTCTTCATTCTTGATTCCGTTGATGTGGTTTTTGCTTCTTTCTTTTTTTTTTTTTTTGCTTTAATATCGTTGACCGACCGTATCACCCTTTCTGTGAGCGTTCCGTTGTTGTTGTTGTTGTTGTTTAAGATCATTTATGTTATATACCATACGCTCTCTTCGAGTCTTCGCGGCTATGCTGTTGTAAACAGCAAGAGCGGAGCAAAACAGACGAAAAACGATCAATTATCTGTGGCACGTTCATGAACCTTGAAAGACTGTCTAAGATATACCGTTTTAATATTGCGGTATTGCGGTATTGCGGTGTTCTCTAACTTACTCGCATTCGCCTCTTGGCTCCAATATAAATGAAGTTCAACTTAAGTTTGCCGCATTTCTCTCAGACTTGACTGAGAAGAGTCTTCCAAAGCCGTAAATGCAGGATTATTAGTTCATTGTTAAAGCTGTGCAGCCAAACAAATCATTTAAAATTTTTAAGCTCCAGTTAAATTTGGTTAAGGTTTGGTGGTAGTTTTTCATTTTTCCAACATACATTTTTTTTTTTTTATATTTTTTTTTCATATATACCATAACCTTTTTTCGAAGAGATTTTGGTTTGAGTTCATAAAATAGAAAGATGATAAGCGTAAAGAAGGTACGATTATAAATGTGTTTCAATTCTTTTTCATTTTCATCGTGTATACATTTTTTGTATACACTCTCATAAAGACATAATTGGATTTTGTACAAAAAAAAAAAAAAAAAATATTGATTTTCAATTTGATTTCTTTCTGAGACGAGATATGTTGGAAACAACAGTTATTGTTTCTTAGTCGAGAGGGCTGGCTTTTAGTTGACTTTTAGATTGTGAAAGTGTTTGGTCACATAACTAGGACTTGACATAAAATATATATGTATTGCGCAATATAAAAAAGCAGAAATTGCATCATGGATTCATATAAGAGAACGACGGTACATTCCGAAATGTCCGATGTACCGGAATTTCAAAGAATTAAATTAAGGCCAATACCGGAAATTAAACCTAAAATCCCTCAGCCATCCTTTAATTTATCTCTAAGAAAAGTAAGCACCTTTTCAATGGGAAAAATGCAAAACGAGATTTCATTTACGATTATTTGTTGATTTAGAGAGAAGAAATAATTGCTTATTTCGTCGCTGAAAATCCCTTTATTTATTTACTAAATGCAAGTCATTTTTTTTTTTTTTTTTTCTTTATTTTATAGACTTCATCAACGACAAAAACTACGAGCTTAACCGCCCCAGCAAAATTGTACGGCAAGGATTTAAGCGAATATGATGAAGTTGACGTTGATGCCTTATTAGCTCAACTATCGCCCGAAGAAATCAACATTTTGGCAAAAGAAGTCGATCCCGATGTAAGTTATGATAATTTTTCTCTTTTTCTAATTAGTTTCAAAATGACTTTGTTTTTTTGTTTTTATATCCCACGCCACTTGTGGTACAAGGGTATATTAAGTTTGTATAGAGATATGCGGGCAAGACCCGCTTTTCATTATACCGATCGATTCAAAATCACTTCTGTATGTCCGCTCGAGTGTCTGTCTTATTTTCTTGTATTCAGCCTGCAGATCGCAAGGGTCTATTAAGTTTGTGCGAGTGTATGCAACAGCCAGAAGGATAGATAGATAGATAGATAGATAGATAGATAGATAGATAGAGATAAACGTCGATATATCGATCTAAGCTTGTCTGTACGTCTGTCTGTGTTGTGTTCTTGTACTCAATCTAAAGGTCGTCATACTATGATGAAAATTGGTACAGTGACGCATTTTTGGAACAAGAAGAAACGCTATTGAAAATGTTTTGTATCCAAGCATTTTTTCGACTATTCCCTATTTAAATAAAGCGTTATTCTGAGAAGTCGTTATATTAACAACTGCAATAAACAAAGTGGTGTAGCGCATTTAATGGCAGGCCATGCCCCACTATAGTATTTTCGCATGCGTTCTTTTTTCAATTTAACCGAACTAAGTTTATGTACATGGATTGGTAATCGATATGATCGCGTTTTCTACTACATAAGCAAAACTGCATTTTAGTCAATGTGGTGGTTGACACGTTTACGGACGGTCAGTGAGCTACTAAAATAGAAGGACAGATATTTGTCTAATACTTCGTGAGGGGTATGTAAAGCGAGGAGCAATCGGTACCGCGATCTAAAGAGATCTATTGCACTCGTTCGTGTCCCTAGGTTTGTGCAGCTTTATCTCGCCACCTTGTCAGATTCGGAGCGGCGTACGAATGTTGCACATAATGAAATATTGTGCGATTGGATATATTTATAAAATCGCTAATCGTTATCGATATTTTCAAAAATTTTGCTTTTAATGTAGGATAACTTTTTGCCGCCCGATCAACGTTGCAGTTATGAGTGCACTAAAAGTCCTACTGGTCCTTTGGATCGTAAAAAGCTTATCGAACATATTAATAAACAAGCTTTAGAAACACCGGATCAACCGGAATTTGAGCCGTATGTTAAGGGTACGGTAAGGGGTAAAAAATGGATACCGCCACCACGTGATCAACGCGCTTTGGAAGTGGAAGAACAAATTGCCATTGATATGGGCGATGAATATGAGCAGGCGTTAAGTCATGCCACCCAAGAAGAGATCATAGATTTAGCAGCAATTTTGGGTTTCCACTCGATGATGAATCAAGATCAATATCATGCTTCGCTGTTGAATAAGGGACAACCGGTCGGTTTAGGTTGGGACGGCATAACCAAATCAACGCAGCAAAAAGTTTATCCAATGGATCCACCAAACAATACAGATGTAGAAGAGTCCATTAAGCGTGTCAAAGAAGATGATCCTAAATTAATTGAATTGAATTTCAATAATATTAAGGTGAGGTTTTTTTGTTTATTTATTGAAATTTTTAAAATTCATTATCTCACGCGATGTGTGCTATAATCGATAACATTTTTAGAATATTTCCGATGAGAAATTTGAACAATTATTTGAAGTACTGCCTAAAAATGAACATTTGGAAGTCTTATCATTAACGAATGTTGGACTTACTGATAAGACAGCTCTTTTATTGGCCGAAGCCATTGAGAAAAGCAAAACCCTTAGAGTATTAAATGTTGAAACAAATTTTATAAGTCCGCCTGTGGTAGTTAAATTAGTTAAAGCCCTGCTAAAATGCCGCACCATTGAGGAATTCCGAGCTTCCAATCAGGTGAACCTCAGTAAATTATTTTTGTGAAAATTTTCCATATTTATAAACAAAAAAAAAAAACTTTTTTGTTTTTTTTTTTTTTTTTTTTTTTTTTTTTTTTTTGTATACATAACAGAGATCGGCAGTTTTGGGAAACAAAATTGAAATGGAAATTACGGACTTAGTGGAAAAGAACACCTCACTGCTTAGACTGGGTCTGCATCTGGAATTCAACGATGCCCGTCATAGAGTCGCTGCCCATTTGCAACGTAACATAGATAGAAGTGAGTATACAATTCCCGAACGGTAGCATTTTCTTTATAACCTGGTTCTCTTTCTTACGATTTCACTCAATTATTATTATTACGGCCTCTCAAGGGTTGCTTTGTAAACACACCGTTGGTTTTTTTCTATATGCCCCCTCTTCCCATTTTTCCTATCTAGGTTGTAGACTTTAGGATAATTTTTTTTTTTTTTTTTTTTTTTGTTTTTTAATTATGGGTTAATTATCTCGATTATATTATGGTGTAAAATTTAGGTGAAAATAATGCAGAAAATACCGGTCATTCTGTCAAGTCATCATCATTATTGATATCGAAAGCGGCATTAAATTTCGCTGAAAAACGAACAATGGCAAATAACCCGAATGAAGATCGAAAATATCATGATAAAGAGAAATGTGTAAATAAATCATCACCACCGCCATCATCATCATCATCATCATCGCTATTTGATGTGAAATTCACGTCATCCGCAGACGCTGTCGATGTCATGTCTAAATGTGCTGACTTGGATGATAAGGTCACTTGCGAAACAATCAGATCATCATTGTTAGACGTGGCCGTCATAAACATTGACAACAACAACAACAACAGAAATCATATAATTCAAGCCGAACCATGTTCATTACCATCTGAAAATCTTACCAGCGGCATAAAACATACTAAGGAATTTGATGAGAAGGAAATTTAAACGAAAGGATATACAATCTATCTCTCAATACAAATACATTTTGGGTGTCAAAATTTTCATTTATTTATATCGCAAAATGCTTAAAATTTTTTCCGCTTTCATAACCATTCAGCAAAGGTAATATTCTTTCATTATCACAAGCTCCTCTCATCCTTGGATTATTCGGCGTTCAACGTTTCATGTTGTTGTCCATTCTTATTTAAGCAAACGAACGAAATGTTTGTGATCGTCTTCTCATCGCTTTCATCGTCTAACGTATTACTATTATTACTATTATTGTTTTATGAAAGAGTTCAAGTAAAGTGTTGTTGATTGTTCATATGTTGTCGTTAATTGTTGAAAAAAATATCAAACGTTTTTAGATTTTTGTAGATTTGTAAGAAGTTTACTTAAAAAAAACTAATTACAATTAAATTTCAGTTACGTAACGAATATAGCCTAAGACTACGATTAATAATAAGTTGAGAAAGTGAATGAATTTTTTCAAGTAACTGACTCGAAATTTAGTGCAGTTTTTTGGTCCTCTGCCAGATTTTTTCTCAATATTAAAATTACGAAATGTTACTCGTTACTCATTTTGAGGAGGATAGCCACGTTATGTTAACAGAATTAGTTCACGTTTTTTCTGAAATTTTGTAGGGAAAGTGCTTTAGTAGGAGTCGTGTTAGGTTATATAGAGATAGCTTGTAGTAATAACATAACGTATCTTATAATTATTTAAATTTCATATTCACTTTAGTTACAATTTAGAAGCAACGCAAAGTGCTTCAGGAGTCACTCAAGAGTCATACATCTCAACTAACTTCACACACAGCACAGACATGACATAATATGCTTTACACATAACTATTGTGTTTTACTTCTATTCTAATTTTTCTTCCCATTTTTAAGGCTTTGTTTTTTTCATATCATCATCACATTTTCATAATTGTTGATGTGTTCTTGAATTTTTTCTGTTCTTCATTTTTCTGTATAGTTATCGTCCCCTTTAGTTTGACTCTTAATCGAATCCCTTGTAATTGTTCCTTATTTCTTAATTTTATAAATATTGTTTTTATTAATATGTTTTTATAATTGTACAATTTTGTATAAAACTATTTGAAAAATCAACATTTGTATAAAAAACACACCTGTAAATCAAACAATTCTTCATCGTTTATATCTATCTCTCTACACATAATAACAACTATAATACAACAAACATCTTAGTTGTGCGTGTTGATAAAATTAAACCGAATTTACCGAAGCTAATACTGCCGCCGGGTAATATTGGTATGGATTATGAGACCCTTTCGTCGACTTTACCCATAACACCGTCACCGACTCCCTCGCCTATACCACGTGTAGCCTACGAAGTGGAAGAGGATCCAGATAACATGGTTATACGTGGTACGCTCACGCCATCACCTTCACCATCACCATCACCACTGCCGCCTGACGATTATGAAGTCGAAGTTGATCCTGATAACATGATTATACGTGGTGGTGGTAACAATTTTGAACTAAGTTTATATAACAACGCTCAGTTGGCCGAGTCTTTAACATCGTTAACGTCATCATCGTCTACGACCTCGTTTGACTTAAGCAATGATCTACCAGCTTATAATGAAGATTTGATTAGCTACAAAGCCCATATGTGAGTGTGAGTGTGTATTGTGTTAATAAAACAACCGCCAGAGAAAAGCCTGTGCCTATGAGGACCACCCTGTTGTTGTTTACAATTATATCCCCTTTCGCTCTTCATGTACTATACTATATACACATATACACGCAGCATTCGATGCAAGTGACACCAATGGCCAAAGACAGTGGCTTTAAACAAACTTTTTTAGTAATATTCTATTCAACCATACACACAAACACACGCACACACGCGCGCACACAGAGAAGACTTCGTCTTGATACTTCTGAAAAAAAAAAAAAAAAAAAAAAAAAAAAAAAAAAAAACCATCAACACCAGCCTAAAAGCATTCTACCAATCCTATTATTGTCTTCAAACGTTATGTGTTTGTTGTTCTATTACTTGTGTTACTTGTTCTTATTTCAAATCATAATCACTTCAGAAAGAGAAACTAATTTCTGAAGCCCATTATAACTAAAGCATTGAATGCGCCATCAATCTCGTCGACCTTCTTTGTGCGACCAGGTACCCTTTGTTGTTGTCCCTTCAAAATATAACTAATATTCTTTTCTGAATCGATCTTTACTGGTATGATAAACAAAACTGTTCCTAAAGATGTAGTAGTTTCCGAGGATCTGCTCTTAACACCAAATAGACGCGTCTTTTATTAAATGACTTTTTTTGCAAAACTCTCTCTCGACCGCCGTCAACAACTCTATCAAAATCTTACCTTAACATTTCTTATTTAAGTTGTTGTGTAGTGTGTAACTAATCAAAAACAGTTGTATGCAATTGTTGTTTTGTTGATCTTAAGGCGGTAGGACACTACAAACAACCTAAAAAAAAGGAACATCTTTGGAAAATTTTTTTTTGAATAGAAGGAAAAGGAAGAGAATTATATTTCTAATATTTGAGGAGTTTATTAAGTATACCCTAAAAGTACTAGTAAAATAGGTTGTTTTTTTTTTGGAAAATTTAAAAAAAACACCACACCGTAGTCATTCTCTGCAGTCATTGTCTTTAGCTCAAGGAGATCTGCGGCACGCAGCATAACTGATCCAAAACTGAATTTAAAATCAAAAAAAAATGTGTAATCTACCTTCTTATATATATATAGTAAAACTCATAGAAGAAAAAAACAATTTTTATATGTAATTGGCGCATGTTTGACTCAAGATGTGAAATTTTCAAGCAAAAAAAGCGATTTTTTTTTTTACCAATAATAAATAGTTGAAGCAACTTTACGAAAAATTGCTACGCAAAAATGGTAATCACTTCAGTTATGCTGCTTGACGATTTCAAAAACTGTGTTTCGGAACAACATTTTTTTTATTAACTGCTATTCCACGATCATAAAACTGCCATTCCAAGTTCAAATACTCTTTCGCTTTTCTCGAAGATTTTATGCTTCAATATGCCTGTTTTTGCAATATCTATCAAAGACCGCTCAGCTCTCTGCATTTGATTAGTGTTGACTTCGACTGCACAAATTGTATGATTGGTTACCGATATTCGTCGAAATCTATAATGATTTTTAAAATTTCAATTATATTATCATTAAAATTGGACAATGTCTGTCGCTATGTCCAAGACATTTTCAAGAGAAAAACATTTTGCGGGTAAGGAATTTCTTTCTATATATTCTAGAAGAGTCAAATAGCACTTGTTAGACCAAGAAAAAAATCGATTTTTTCATTGGTCTACCACCCTCCCTTAACTTCATTTTCAAAAGTAGTTTACGACAAATTTGTAATATAATATAATGGGGCTCTCTAGCTTATAGTTGGAGAAAAGTATCTTGAAAAGCTCTTTCTCTAAATTTGAACAGTTTTGTTTATTTTCACGGGATAAAAAGGTTCCCTTTTTAACATTTTTGTATTACATCAAAGATTGTCTACTTGCTTATAAAGCCTACAACACTTGTTGCGTTCTAATTGTATTTTCTGACGGCTGCTAATGCGACTTAGCTTATCAAGCTAAAGCCGATAATAGTTACATATAGTTGGGTTTATCCGAGACCATCTATTATCAAAAAACAAGACAAAGAAAGTGATAAGCATGGCGGCCTCTGAAAAATAATAGCTAATCGTAACAGCAGTGATGCTTTATAATGAATTAGAGATAAATCTTTGCTTATACTTTCTGCCTACTTGTTGTCCACTCCAGTTTCTCTCTGTCTCTCTCTCTCTCTCTCTCTCTCTCTCTCTCTCTCTTTCTTTCTTTCTTTCTCTCTTTCTCTCTTTGTCGCTCACACACTCTCTCTATATCAGCCTATCGACGTATGGGTTTTCATATACAATTTTGTGAATCATCGCTCCCAAACACCTCCAAATATCTGTTGATGTCTTGTTTTTTTAATATTCGTTATTTCGTTTTGCCCACCTTGTTATTATTATTATTTCGTATGTTTAATTATCATTCAATTTATCCTTTTCACATCGTTTCCTTTAATTTAATTTATGTGTTTTCTCTTTACTTTCTTTTTTCTATTGTTATCATTTTTTTTTTGTTTTTGTTTTTTTTTTTTGTTTTTTTTTTTTTTTTTTGTTTACAGTAAGAAAAGATCTTGAATTACGTCTACAGTTCAGATTTTTCAATAATCTGCACAGAAATCCTACAAGAGTTCAGTAAAAAACAAAAAGAAAAAGAAAACAACTAATATAACAAAAATAAATCAATAAAAAAACCAACAAATGAGAAATATTTCACGTTTAATTACAACAACAACGGAAAAAAAAGTCAAAATTAACGATAATCGATTACAAAAATAAATTGTGTATAAATTAAAAATAAAATTAAATCTGCGCGAGAAAAAGAAAAGAACAAAAAAAAAAAGAAAACGTAATTAAATATAAATTATGTAAAATTTACAATAAAACTTTTTAAAGTTGATCATTAACGATAGAACGAGAACATTATAGCAAGCTCAAGGAAAGAACTCATCATACTTTTCCTGGAAATCAAAAGAATCTCACACACAATTAATAGAAAGTTAAAAAAAAAAAAACTAAAAAACGGACCGAATAAAACTAAAAAAAAAAAAAAAAAAATTATATATACGAAAATTGTAGATAAAAAAAAAAACAATTGAAAAAAATATTTTTTTAAAGAAATAAATTTAACAAGCAAATAATATTTAATATTAATTATAAAGAAAAACAAAAAAGGTACATACATATTACATACAAGTTTTTTTTATGAGGGCTCGCTCACCCGCTCGCGCTCGTCTCTACAAAATTTTCATACTAAACAAAACTTTTCCTACTGCTGTTGTTGTATCTCCCTCCCCCCTGCCTAATTTCACATCTGATACTTATATCGCAATTGCTGCGTCTGCAGTTTGACGAAGTCTTGTGAGAAATATTCGCAAAATTTCTCAAAAGAGTTTTCGTGGCACTTATATATATCATTCTATTCTATTTATTATATATGTTATATTGATTTTGCATGAGGCCTTTTTTTCTATTATTATTGCTTTATTTTTTCTTTCTTTTCTTTTATTTCGCACAGATCGTTCGTTCGCTCGTTCTCGTGCATGTCGCTTATTTGACATTATTTTAATCATTAATATTTTACTCATACTTATTATTATTGTTTTCTTCATTTATTATTTACGAGAGAACCTGAAAGAATAACAACCATAGTTATACTAAAATTCTTATATTAAATAGGCCCGTAATACAATCCAAATACTTTTTTTCTTTCTTTCTTTTGTTCTCATAAATGATCGATATTTTACATTCAATTTTATTCTTAGAGTTACGCAGTTTTGCAAGATTAACTAACTTGGTACTGTGATCAAAAAATAAAGTGCAGTCATGGTCATCGCCTTCATAAAATTCAAATTATATTCCTTATTAACAGTTTCGCCCTGCAGAGGAAGTTCATCGCAGCACAACACCTCATAACCTTGATTTTCGTGAGACCTTGATACGGTTTTTTTGTCGGTCTTGGCTCACTTTTTGTACGAAATTCAGGCGATTAATCGGTTGATGCCAGATCGTAGTCCCACCTTCGATAATGATGCTTTTCATAACGTCCTGGTAGTCTGCGAGCGATTGATGGGTTGTTGCCGGGTCGTATGCGTACATGCTAGTCTCATCTTCGGTAATGGGGCTTTTTATTTATAACTTGCTTCACGGACATAATACAAATCGAAAATTCATTTTGCTCCTTTTACGAAGACTAACTCTACAGTAGCTGACGATATTATTAGCAAGCACTTCTACATGGATATCAAAGACAATACACAAAAAAAATTTCGTAATTTCACTCAGGAATTTTAAAGGAAAAGCTCACTTCATTTTTCGGTCACAGTAATGCTTCAAAAATAACCAGAAAACCTATTGATCAGATCAAAGAAATCATTTTCTTACAAATGCTTTAGGTTAACTCAGCGCCCAGTGACTGGGCAATTATGTCCAAAATTTTCTTCGTTCTGCTCGACTCATAAAAAAAAAATTTATTTTTTTTTTTTTTTTTTTGATTGCACTACGGGAGCAAAACATTAATTTCTTTCGCGATAATATTCTATTTATAACATAATGAAAAGGTTTCACGTAGAACGTTATCTAAAAATGATAAGCTATTTATATGAATATATGTTTACAAGTATGATTTGTTTTATTTCTGTTTAGAAACTGATTTTATCCATACCGTTATTGACTTTAACAATTGAGTATTTCAACTGTTTTATCTCAAAATTCCTTAGTTTCATTTTCATATCAACTGACGTTTGTTTGTTGGCAGCGTCACTTGCCATATAGGAAGTTTTGGTTTTGCATTGCCCGAAGAATGACTTATAATCAAAAACTTGATCTCCTTCAAAACCCATTATTATTCGGTAGGAAAGTAAACAAGACTCTCATAAATAATCAATGAAATTTTAACGTTCAATAATACTGAGACATATATAACATCGAAGATGTAAAACGATGACCAAGTTCAAAAACTGTATAGTGAAATTCAATTTCGCAATGATTCATCCCTACTTGCGTGCATATGTTTGTTACGGACTGGACCCAAAATGCTATCACCGAAATATATGGCTAGCGCAACTGTCGCCTTTGATTTTAAAGAGAAATGATAAAAAAAAATATATAAAAAAATCGGGTATTCCCCGAAGTAGTAGTCACTAAGCCATGTGTGGGCATAAACCGGCCGATTACCCGATCACTGTATTCCTCCAATGGTATATTGTGGCAGTTTACATATGACACTGCCAAATTTACAATAAAGAGAAGATCCGTTTCTAGCGGTTTTTTTTTATTGGTGAACCGTGTTATTTTAAAATCAAGTAGGAGGTATTTTTCCTTTCATCACATGGTTTTTAGGAACTTCCGTTTACGAATTTTCCAGGGCTTTCAGGGCTTTTTCTTTAATGCTTTCTATTGCAAAAAAAAAAAAAATGGCTTAGGAGCGTACGCGCGTTTAGCATCATCGTTGTCAGTCCAGTTACGTTTAAAGTTAAAAAACCACAGATCAATTTTTTTCACCGTAACGTTTTCCAAGCCAAAAGACATTTTCCATTGCCTTGGAAATAATATACGAATTTTTTGTTAAAGACGCTATTTCCATTTTTACGCCAGTGCCGGAAATTTTTGACCGCAATTTCTATTTCCTTATCATTCTCGTCGCCTTAATAACTATTAAAACTGGTTTCTCGCCATTGATGCTTATGCGTCATTATCCGGATTTTTAGCAAATTTTTCAAGTACATAACTATACTAACAATAATCGCAACAACAACAATGATTTACATATAAACATATTTTATAATTACGAAAAAAATATCAAGTTTAACAAAAAAAAAAAAGAAAAAAAAAACCCCCAAGTATTTTGAACATATGCACTTTATAATTGTGTTCTGGATTGTGTCATTAAATAGATTTTAATAATTTATTTTTAATTACTTTTGTACCGCAAACATATAGTTGATATTTTTCAATTTACAGATCTTATTAAAAGTTTGCTGGATGACCGTAACAGTTTGTTTTTATTTAATGAAACATAATTTCAACTGATGTGTCATGCTGCGCGCGCCCCCCGCCCCCTGCCCCCCTTCCATTTTGTTAATGTAGAAAAAACAAAAAAAAATTGTTAAAGCTGTTGAGTTTTTCTTGTTATTTTTTTTTTTTTTTTTGCAAACCTCTCTACTACTAAAGCCTAACGTCGGTCTTGTAATCTTTAACATTATTTCCAGATTACCATACCAGTTTTCCGAAAGCCATTGTCATTAAATCCTTTAATTTGCTGTTGTGTTACTATTACGATCTAACTAATGTTTGTTTGTTGTGTGAATTGTGCGTTCTTCCTTCGCCATTATTTCCTTCATTATTTACATTCAATACTAAAAACTAATCTATGTTTTTTTGTTTTTGTTCTTTTCTCTTTCCTTTGTTTTGTTCCGTCTTCTCTTGTCTATTTCCAGTACGTGTGCAACGCCTCAATCAACGTAAATAAATTAAATTGTGTTCAAATTTCGTAAAACAAAAAAAAAAACAAAGAAAACAAAGAAAACAACAATATTTAAAGCATCCAAAATCAACCAAACAACCAAGAATGAATATAAGAGAATAAATGAGAAAATGAGATCAATCACAGCAACTTTTCTCTTTACGACAAACAAATAAATAATTATTACAATATTTTTTCTACAACACAATAATAATAATAATAATAATAACAAGCAATAAAATCTTTTTCTACTAATCAATTATACACTCATTTCGACTATTGCTCTCAATCAATACAACAACAACAACAACAACAACAACAAAAGAACAAATAACAACACCAACAACAATAACCATATACACCGAAATACAAAAGGAAACAAAATTTACGTCGGCTTACCCCAGGAATATGTGAATAGAAGTGAGGAGATGTATCCGTCAATCGTGTGCGCTCTCACATGCGGTGAGCTTTAAACGAAACACAAAATAAAGTCCCTCTAAAGTGATTTTTTTAATGAAATATGTACGTATATATCATAGAATTATTATATATAGATATGCAATTTTTAAGTTAGAAAATAATTTACAAATGTCTTATCTTAGGTTCATCAAGTATTCATATATGTTTTTTACATGTATACGTTTTTTCATCCATATAAGTATTTAATGTTGATTGTCTCTGTTGTGCGCGCATGAGAAGTCAAGAAATCATTTCATTGTAGAATTGGTTATAAAGCATATATAATATACCAAAATTCTTCTTCTTCTTCTACGAAAGAATCTTTAAATAGCGATAATCATTTTTTTTTCCTATGTCGTCTAGTTTTCAAGATGTTCCGATAACATACATAGCTGTATGTAACAAAAGGGATTATTTTGATCCAATATTTTTATCGACATGCCAACGGTCTTAAAAACGGCGATAGGAATTTGAAATTTGATATAAGCATTCTTTGATCGATTGCGAATGTAAGATTGAAAATTGGGCGTGATCTCTGTTTACATGCGTGAATTCATTATGGAAGAAACTGTAAGAATCTCGGAAAAAGACCGACATCTTTTTTATATCTTTATAGACACCGTGAAAACTTGTGATCCATACGTTCATCAGGATTACCGTCATTTGCGATAAAATTTTAAATTCAATTTATTCCCCGTTTATTATATTTAACCTCAGCATCTTTTTCAACCAATTGCAGATAAATTGGAAGTAAATTGGAATTAATATTTTATCGTTAATTGTGCGTGTGTGCTTGTCATCAGCAAACCCCTTGGAACCATTTTTTGATCAGATCCGCACACGTATTTGACGAACGTTACGAATGTTAGACGAAAATACGAAAAAAAAAAATTTCGTTCTTTTTCAAGGTGATGGTAATTTTTCATTTATGATGGGCGTGTATGTAGGCAAGTCGCAATCATTTTTTTTACCATTGGATTCTTAATCGAGCAAATTATGTTAGTGCCAAATTTCAGTTTCACCTTTTCCACCGTGACATGTCAGCAATTATACGGGATCAAAATGATCCCTTTGGGTAAGAGTAGGTATATGCAAGACGTACGTAGTTCCAGTGTTAAGTAAGAAAATTATTTTCGATTATGACCGAATTTTTTACACCCCGCAGTTTATATTACAAAATGTAAATTTTTTTCCCCCTTTTTTGCTTCTGAAAACCGAGGAGGTAGTCTTATCGTCTTACGTTATGGTGTTACGGGGCTTGTCCGCTGGCCAATTTGGCCCACTTTTCATATCAACCTAGAGACAAGAACTCACAATGTTTTCGCCGACCAAGAGAATATTTGCAACAGACATAAGGCAGAGTGACACACGGACTGACGGACATGCTTAAATCATTTCAAAATGTAATGTTAATTAAGAGTATATATATTTTATAAAGTTCCCAAATCAATAACGTATAAAACAGAATTACACGCTAACTGTCGTGCTTAAATCTTTTCAAAATTTAATGAGATCTCGCAAGGGCATAAGCTATAAAAAAATAATTATTTTACTTCAACTAGTTTTTGTCTATGTTGGCGGTTTATTCCGTCAATTGATGTAAATGAGTTAAATAGAAACCTAAGAGAAGTTAGTGTTGTCGCGATTTATCATGGTCAACAACGACAAAACAACTCGAAATTAATCTCAGACAATTTATCAATTTTTTATTGTCTCTACAGCGTCGACTAGTTCCGAGTAAGAATGTAAATGCAATGCTATGTAGAAATTAATACATTCATGTATCTTTAGGTGTATGTTCTTTAGGGTTACTTTTAATAAGATGAATAATTATACCTTAATAAGTTATATAATGTCAATATCCTTCCATTGTTGTATATTCTGTATGAATTGTACAAAAACAACGCAATAATAATTGTTGATAAAAGACTATAAAATATATTCACAGGTGGACGTCAACGACGCATGGGACATTTTTCGCGAAATTATACGATTGGCGCCTGGCAATAAAGATTTCTTTTCATTTCATGATCAACGAGTATAATCTTTAATGAGAAGAGAGCGCTCTGTCCGTGCATTGGGTCTTAATCAAATTGTTGCTGTTTCTGCCGTCTTTTTAGCTTAAATATTTTAGTAACTTTGATACATAGCTAAACAAATTATTTTATGCGGCCATTAGAAAGAGAGAAAAAATAGCGTTTTTTTTTTTTTTTTTTGGTTGAAATTTAACGAATTTTTCAAAAATTATTTATGCAAATTTTAAAATTATTGTTGAAATTTTGAGAAAAAAAAACCAGAACCAAACAGAGTAGGGCCAAGAAATTTTATCCGAAATGCAAATATATATATATGATTATGTTGTATATGTTGTTGCTAGGAAAACGTTAAATAAAAACTGTTTATCAATGTTCAATAATTGATAAAATTAATTTGTTTCGTACCACACTCTACTACCGCTACAATTACTATTTAACATGTTTTCTGCAAGAGAAGAAAATTAAAGTTTGTTTGCCGTTATTAAAATTTTGAAAAGACATTTATAAAATGAAAACTGAAAATTAATATATTTATTCACTTGAAATTCAATTTTCAAATTTGTTCATGAGAATGCTTTATATAAACAAAAATAAATACTGCAGGCTTTCTTTTTTTTTATATTAGAAAAAATATACAAATAATATATTATTCACGTACCATTATATAAAATCATATTTATATAAATATATATATATATATGCATATATATGCGTAATACATATGAAATTTGCAAAATTTTTAAGTCGAGATTTTATTTGTATAATTTTTTTAAAAATTTATATATTTTTTTATTGTTTATTTTATTTTATATAATTTTACCAGATCTTATTTTTCAAGTATATCTTATTTTTCAAGTATAATTTTTATAAATGAAAAATTATTTATCCTTTTTCTATTGAGTTCACATAAAATTGTACAATTTTCACCAAAACACAAGCAACATTAAATTTTTGCATATGAAAAGAAATTTTATATATATTATATTATAAACAAAATAAAACGATTGCGCGCTATGCTTACAAATTAAATTATAAACAAAAATGTATAAATAAAAAAAAAAAATAAAAAAAAAAATTAATAAAAAATGATATACAAAACCAAATTGAAAATGGTCTCAAATTATACATAGTATAGTATAGGTGTATCCCTAATAAAGCTGAAGCCTGCCCTCGTTCCTTTTTCCTTTTTTTTTTTGTAGGCTCAAGTTTTACTTAGTCAAACGTTTCGGTTTCTAATCACTAGGCAAATCGGTCAAAGAATAGACGAAAACAATGGAGCCTTTTACGTATTCGCATGTATGCCGAATGAATGAATTTGCAATGAATTATTAATTGGACATATCTGACTTTCAAATTGATTCGTTAGCGTTTTCAATTTTCTCTTCTTTACTTTCATCATCAGATGGCCTGCAAGTTTTCGTTTAAAGTTGCGAATCTCGCGTAACACTTGCTGATTAATGCAGAAATTTTTATATTATTTCTTACTTTATGCCTCGGCTAATACACATACAATATGAATGTTGTATAGAGTGATTTTAATAATGTCTTGAATAATTTCCTTTTTTCCAATCCGATGCCCAATAAAAGGCCTCTAGTGTCGGTTTTTTAGGGCAAGGAGGGAGGACACTACTTCTGACATATTTTCTCTTTGTGATCAGGGCGTGTAAGGCTGCCCGCCGTCATGTGTAGAGTTAAAATGAATAAAGAAAGATCAGTTTTTCTTTTTAATGAAAACATCTACACTTGTAAATAATCTATGGTTTTTTTTCCCCGTCCCGATGCATCTTATGGTAATAACAATAGAATAATGAAAGAATTTGCGACTTTCTCCTAATCTTAATATTTATCTTAAATGAAAAGTAGTATCTGAATTTCTATTCAAAAGTGAACGAAGCTACGTTCGCCTTTTATTATTTAGAATCACTCGAATATTTACTTTTCAATAAAGTAATTAAATGAAATGAAAAGTCTTAGGCAATGCAAGTTTAAAACGCATGCAAACTATTTGTTAATGACAAGCAAATAATGCAATACCGATAATAAAACTATCTTCACAAAGTCAAGGAAAAGATACAAAACTTATACGGATATGAGGGAGAGGCGCATTTCAACCCACCTTGGATACAAATACAGATTCGATGTGAAATCAATCTACGATATGCTTTGTCGATATGCTGTGAAGCGATATAAATTCATCTAACAATCTCATCTTGTTTATGAAGAACTACTATTAAAGTGATCCAAAAAATAACAGGTCGAGCAAAGATATTCTGAATTGGTGCATCTATTGCATAGTGGAATGTAAAATGTGACTCGAGCATTTTCGAGGCAATAACCTTATAGGCAATAACCAAATAAATCTAAATGGCTAACTAACAGCATTCTGAAGACAGTTATACAAGTTGGCAGCGTCTTTACAAGATCTGGAATGCAATAGAAAATGAAAAATTAATAATTAATTAGTTCTCAACGCCATCGCATGAAACTGTAAACTCTATATGATAACAACTCATATTTGTAGATAAAAATGATTGATGTTATCAGTGCGGGATCATCATACAAATGCAATAAAAATTTATTATAACACACAACATAAGGGTTAATGAGATAGATGTTTTCCGCATCATCGTCATTTAGCGCATTTTCGTTATGAATTTTCGAAACAAAATTACCTAAAATTCTCCAACATTTATAAGATCTCAGCAGTTAGCAGAACGTGGCTCAATTAAGCAGACGTTTATTATCAGCTCTAGTATAATGTTTAGGAAAAGTGCTTGATTTTAATTATTAATTATGTCTTTTATCGAAAATGAATTTTCGATTCATAAAAGCCATCAGGTTAATACGTCTATCGACGCGGGCCAATTTGCTGGCTCTACCGAACTTATTTTAATAACCGATCATCGTACTAATAAGTGTCGAAATCGTCAACAAATTATAGTTAACGAGAAAAGCGAAAATTATTGTCGTAATTATATGCGTAAGATTTTTCGGAAAAAAACGCTTTACAAACGTTTACCGATATTCCAATGGCTCCCGAAATACAGCCGCCGCGATGCTATTGGCGATTTAATAGCAGGCATAACTGTTGGACTTACAGTAATACCTCAAGGTTTAGCATATTCGAATGTTGCTGGACTCCCTACACAGGTAGCAAGATATTGAACAAATATTCTAATCTTTCATCTAAAAATGATCAAATTTTGTCTTTGTGTGTGTGTGTGTGTGTGTGTGTGTGTGTGGGAGAAAAGATAAAAGCAATACCTTTTCGAAAATCAAAGGATAAAGATCTGTGTTGTTGGACTTTTGGAGCTAAACTCCCTGAACCAGTTAGTTGTGCATAACGGATATATGTATGCTTCATAAATTTTCATCATTATGACTGTGTATATTTTAAAACATTTTCATTACTTTATCAAGTCGTTTCATTGCAACCTCAATTCATAGTTAACTGGTTATTTTACATATATATATGCACACTGTGAACATTAATGCAAAAGTGTGAACATTCAATACGCATTGGAAGTCGACGGCGCAAAAATGTCCATTTTCAGAAAATTTCTCGCTATTCTTCCGACTTTTGTACGAATTAACTCTAATATGGATGATTTGTCAAAACTTTTCTAAATTTTATTCATTTACAGTTTGGTCTCTACGGTTCATTTATGGGTTGTTTCGTTTACGTTCTTCTCGGCACTTGCAAAGACAGTACCGTTGGTTCAACGGCAGTGGCTTCATTATTAACTTATCAAGTGGCTAAGGGTAAATGGGAGGTTAGTGGAGCACTGGCGTATTGGGGTCAAAATTGATATAAGAAACTGATTAATAACTTTTATAGAGAGCGGTCTTATTAACGTTTCTCACAGGATTCATAGAAATATTTATGTCTATTTTCCGTCTTGGTTTTTTGGTGGATTTCGTTTCGGGGCCTGTAAGTGCTGGCTTTACCAGTGCTGTGGCTATGATAGTATCTACGTCACAAATTAAAAACATATTAGGAGTTCAAAGTGAAGGATCGTCTTTTCTGCAGCGATGGATTAGCATGTTGAATGATATTAAGAATATACGCGTAAATGATGCGATATTGGGAATATGTTGCGTAGTCATGTTGCTTGGCATGAGGACATTGGGGAAATTGAAAATTGGGCCCAAAGCACAAGATGAACAAAATTGGAAACATAAATGTGTTAACAAAATTCTATGGTTTATGGGTGTAATGCGTAATGCGATGTTGGTAATAGTCTGCACTGCTGTCACAATGTATTTGGAGTCACAAGGAAAACACTATTTCAAATTAACCGGCAACGTACCTGAAGGTTTGCCTTCAATAGCTTTGCCACCGTTTTCAATAGCACCCCGTCCAGCTAATGAAACTTACGGCGTCCCAGAAATAAAAGGAGAAACTTTTTTCGAAATGATTGAAAATTTAGGTTATGGTCTGATAATAGTGCCAATGATAGCCATGTTGGAAAATATTTCGGCGTGTAAAGCTTTTGGTAAGATTACAGTGCGAACGATGAAAATTTTTTATTTCTTTATCATTTACTTTCAATTTTCAGCTAAGGGAAAACCGATTGATGCTACTCAAGAATTGTTGGCCATAGGGATGGCTAATGTAGCCAATTCTCTTTTCCAGGGCTACCGCGCGAATAGTGGTTTGGCTCGTTCTGCTGTAAATAATGCCAGCGGTGTAAGAACTCCTCTTGCCAATCTTTATATAGGGCTAGTGGTTATGTTAGCTTTAGTATACTTAGCAAAATATTTTTATTATATACCTTTAAGCGTATTGGGCGCAATCATCATTTCTGCGGTGATCTTCCAAGTGCAATATCATGTAATTAAGCCTATGTGGCGCAGCAAACGTAAGTTGAAAAAAAAAGGTGAATACATTTTCCTATATATGTCTATTAAATTGAATTTTCTTCTTTTTTATCCCTTAGGTTCCGATTTGTTATTAAGTTTCTTGGCTTTTATGGCCTGTTTAGTTATGCCTTTGGAAATTGGAATATTAGTGGCTATAGGTGTGAATTTATTATTCATTTTATATCATGCAGCCAGACCGAAAATAATGCTGGAAACTATGGTAAAGTATGAAATCGAAGAGAGAATTTTGACACTTAAAAATGTTGTTTGCTTATTTAATCCCAGCAGAGTGTGGATGAATTGAAATTTTTAAAAATTACACCAGATCGTTGCTTAATTTTTCCCTCAGCTGAATTTGTACGGAATTTAATTTTAAAATCTGGTTGTCAATCATCTTTACCGGTAGTCATCGATTGCACTTACATTTACGGCTCCGATTATACGGCCGCTAAAGTCATTTCATCGATTGTCGATGATTTCAAAAGTCGCCAACACAAGATAATATTCTTTAACTTGAAGCCAAGTATAGCGCAAATTTTCGAAGGCTTACATGCCCAGCTAATTTTGTGTTACAACGTTGACAGTCTGTCTTATGAATTAAAAAATCACAATGGTTACGAAGATAACAGCGGCAACAACAAAATAACTAATACAATAGCTGTTATAAAAAAAGATGAAAGATTCCTAAATATAAATAGCTGATAATAAAGAAAAATATAAAAGTTTGTTATTTAAAGCAAGATTTTAAATTTAAAAATAAACTCGAATTTTCCTTAATAACCCTCACAAAAGGTTATCTATATCAACGCAGGAAAACAATTACTATAGATGAGGACCGTATCAAATTTTGTATATCTTTTAGTAAATACAATCGATGTTTTCCTAACGAAATGTAAAACTTATTTATGATAGATTCAGTGGAAGGTTAAAACCAAGGCCTCAAGATGTTTTTCAAAGCAACCTTATCACCTTCAGTACCTTATTCCTTTAAGTTTTCATTGAAATTAGACCTTAATGTCACCATACAAACGCCATTCAAGTTGCTCAGCCAAGGATCGTCTATGTTTTCTCATTTTTTGCTATACGAAACCTCAGACTGTGCTTAACCATCTCCAAAAAACCGCATCTCAATCAACGCTTCCGTTCCTGAGTTATAAACGAAAGCATATGTGGACGCACACCCAACGCGAACAAAATTTTACGTAAAATTC